CAACTCTACCAAAGGGATTCATCAACACTCTGGACTCCTCTGAGGGGATGGGGACGGGCAAGGGGCTTCACACAAGTGATCGAGCTAATGCAGACATGCTGGCTATTCAGGCCATGAGACAATGGCCCCACAGAGCTGAAGGCCTCTCTAAAGCAGTGACACTATAGTTGAGACCTAAAGCTTAAGATAGACCAAGCAAGTGAAGAATGGGGAAGGGGTCAGGGAAGCAAAGAGAGAAGCAAGAACACTTTTGGCAGAGAGAGCCCCCACTTCCTTCATCTGATGCGAGTTAGGACAAGAACTCGGCGTGGCTGGGCCTAGGCGGGGAGGACGGTGGTGCGACCAAGGCTGGATGTGTAAGCAGAAGGCAACACAGGGCTTCGCGCATTGGGTGGAGTGTCTGGTGCAAAGGGGAACTGCTGCAGGCATTACACACATAGGAGATCTCTGTGAGCACTTTGTGGAGAATGAACAGGGGTGGGGAAGAGTGAACATGTGGAGGGAGTTCTATCAGAGGCTGAGGCAAATGGCACTCTTGTCTACCAAAAGCCATTCTCCCTTTTTTCTTACAGAGTATCCCAATTTTGTTAGAGTCAGGATGTGATCTTATGATTTCAAGGAGGGTGGATGGGGGAAGGTGTGCTGTATGTAGAGCTCGGGAAGTATGTCTCAGCTGATGCAATGGTGTGAGCACACTCCACCATGACATGCTTCCTCAACACACCAGGAAGTAGCAATGCCCACCTGAACGAACTCCTAGAGCCACGTGCACAGTACCCCAGCCTTTCAGCCATTGGTCGCGTATAGCAACGTGTCTCCCTCTGATTGGTCCCCTCATGCTATATATACCCCTGTAGTTCCACAATAAAACGGATCTGCGTCACCGAACCTGGTCTCCGGAGTCGTGCATGCAGATGCCCTAGCACGTTGGGGCTCCGTCGTCCTCACCCCCGAGGGACCCCCTGCTTCAGTGTGTGACCCAGTTCTGACCACATATAAAGGGAGTTGCTGCGGGGGCTCCTGCCAAGCCTCCTGCCCGCCAGGGCTGTGAGGATGAGATGCTGAAGATGCTGTGCTCCCTTGGCAGGAAGGCGGAGAGAATCGCAGAGCTGCCAGCCCAGAGTCCTGACATCATGCAGCCCCTGACCACAGCTACCAACTGCCTACCTCCTGGATTTCTGATTACGGGAGCAAAGTGAACGCCGGTTTGCTTAGGCAACTGACACTAGGAGGTTCTTGTGTCTCACAGTCCAAAGCATCACCTGGCATCCTCCTCATAGATCACCTGTATTTAAACCAGGTTCTCAGGTCTCAGCCCTTCAAGAAGTCCTGTTCTGCAGTCATGGCTACAGAATCATCTACTTGCCACCCTTTCTCTCAAATTCTACTCTAGAATTTGTCAGTGGCTACTCTAGTTTGGCCCAATGAGAATAGAAATGTGGAACATTTTACCTACTGACACATAAATCAAAATTCTCCATTAAAAGAGAGATAGTATTTATAAAATATGCAATATATATTTTCTTTTCCTACTAGATGCCCCGTGCACGAATTTGTGCATAGGTGGGGTTCGATCTGGCTGGGGCCAGCTGGGGGAAGGGGATGCTGAAGGTTGGCCGGTTGGCCCTGCCCCCGATCAGGGCCAATTATGGGTGGGGCCAGCCAGGGGGAAGGAGACATAAGGGCCTGCCCCCTGGTCTAACTCCTAGTCAAACTCCTGGTTGAGGGGACAATTTGCATATTAACCTTTTATTATATAGGATATCCATTCATTCACCTAATGACTTCCTTTTCCAAATCCTTACCATCTTTTCATCTGTAAAATTACCATTAAACCACATCCCCAAGTATAAGGAAAAACTATTTCTTTCACGAAGCAACTACCTAACTGGGAAATCCTCATAGTTCTTTAAGCATTTTATGCTGAGATTCAGACACAATAAAGGATGCATGTAGTAAACCTAAACTGTTATAACTTATAGTACGGATCTAGTAGTTCTGACAATTAGGTAATGATCATTTCACCTCTAGTTTTCCCTGACCGCTCACAGCAAGTGTGTAATCTCCTTACTCCTCTGGAAGAGACACTGAGTTTCTGTAGAAAGAACTAAATTTCTAAGGCTATACCACCGATAACCTTTCAATCTCAGGGCAGAGGGGTAAAAATCAGTATTTTCTTTTAAAGCTTCTAGGTTTCAAGTCTTGTAAAAATTCCCTAACTTAAAGTCAAGATCATAAAGGACTGAAAACTTGAAAGCTAAAAAATGTAACCCTAATTGCATTAGAGTCTGGAGAAACAATAATCCCAGGCCACTGCATGCTGCTGGCTGGCTGGGAGGTTCAGACCTCAGGATTCTGTGGAATTGGCCCCTCCTCAAAGGTGTACAAAGGCATGTTGTACATGTGGGTATCAGAAAAGCTGAAAAGAATGGCGATATTAGCAATGAGAGCAAGAGAAAGCCTACAAAACATTCACACAATTATTTTAAATATTTTATGAACTTTGTATGAGGATTCATACAAATTTCAGACCCAACCGTACTGGGAGGAAAAAAGTACATATTAAGGCTTTTCAGAGGCTCTCCGAACAATAGCTGAGTCACTAAACTGGAAACATATACAGATTTACTAAGACTATTAGATTATGGGACGGCTTGGTATTGTCTTTCTTCCTCTTTGTAAACAGGTTTAATTCGCTCCTTTCTCAGAGTATTCACCTTCTTGAGAATTACAGTGGATAAACGCAGAGCTCCAGGGTAAAAGCTGGTCATCACCAAGCAGCCTAATGGTGACTAATAGGACAGTCACTTGGAGTTATAGCTGAAAGTTCTATGCAAAAAATCAAGTGGAGCCATTGAGAACTGAAGAATAAGAACTGAACCCAGCTGTGCAAAAATGACGTAACACTAGACTACATTAGGAAATCTGTTACTGTAGCCCTGGCCGTGTGGGTCAGTTGTTGGAGCATCATACCCCACACCAAAAGGCGGAAGGTTCAATTCCTGCTCAGGGCACATACCTAGGTTGTGGGTTCAATCCCCGTTTGGGGCACGAATGGGAGGCAACTGATTGATGTTTCTCTCTCACCTCTCTCTCTCGCTCTCTCTCTTTTTCTCTCGTCTCTCCCTTTCTCTCGCTCTAAAAATCAATTTGAAAACATATCCTCAGGTGAGGATTAAAAAAAAAAAGAAAACTGTTATTATTATTCATACCTCCTTAACAAATTAAAGAAGAAAAAACATTCTGATTACATAAAAACTATAAGATCATAGCAGATGTCCAAGATCTACAGCAGAGATCTTACAAATGCATAAGATCTACAGTAGATGTAGAAAAATTCAATACCCATCCTTTTAAAAAAAAACACAAAACTTTCTTAGTCAAACACTTGCATAACTCAATAAAAGGTATACAGCAAATGCCCCAACTGACATCCTTAATGACAAAATGTTGAAAGCACTCCCTTTAAATAAGGAACAAGGCCAGAATCCTTCCACTATCACCCTTCCATCAACACTGTACAATGGAAAGGGGCCTGCCCAGGCCACAAAATTAACCGTTAGCCAAGTCGAGAGGACACAGGCTTTCCTCCTCCCCATCAGCACTTTCTATCCTTCATTACAGTTTTGTGCCCCAAGTGTCCCTATTCCCTTCTGCCTCATCATTAGAATCTGTGGCTGCTGGTGGATTAAATAAACTGTCAATGTGCCTAGGAGGACTGGGTTTTACTTTCCGATGGTAACAGAAAAGGGCGGAAAGACTAGTACCAGTTACAGCTTCACTGCAACTACAGATGAGTGTCCCTGTATACACAGGACAGCACAAAAGCACACACCTAGGGTCTTGATACACGTAAAATAAACTCTATGTGACACCAACTTGATGTCAACTGTTGGCAAGGTGCGGGGAACAAGCACTCTCCTGATCTGCAGGGGGGGGACAGGTTGGGTCATGTGTCTGCAGGGCGATCTGGCTAAATGTATTGAAAGGTTTTAAAAGGGGCATACTCTGAAACAGGAAGTCACTGTCCAGGATTTTTTCCTAAGGAAATAATGAGAGATATAAAATATGTATTTACAGTATCAAAAGACTGGAAAAGAACACACACATTCAACAACAGGCCACTAGTAAAGTACATACAAAATATTTACAGCATAGAATACTATCTGGTCTTTAAAATAATGTATCAAAGAATGATAATGACAATATGCTCAGAAAATGTTACATTTTTAAAAGTTAACAATGTGTACAAGGTGATTCTTCAAAAAAAAAATTTTTAACTTATGGGAAAAACACATAACATATATCAAGAAAATACCAAAATACTGGTTATATTATTACTTGGTGGGGAAATTTGGGGTGACTTTAATTTTCTGTTACAAGCATCCCAGGCATGCTGACAGACCTGGATAACTCTCACTCACTCTTCTTTGTTGTTTTTGTTTTTATTGATTTTTAGAGAGAGAGGAAAGGCATGGGATAGAGACATGGAGACATCGATGAGGAGAATCATTGATCAGCTGCCTCCTGCACACCCCTTACTGGGAATTGTGCCTGCAACGCAATGCAGGCATGTGCCCTGACCGAGAACTGCACCAGTGACCTCTTGGTTCACGGGTCGATGCTCAACCACTGAGCCACACTGGCCAGACAGTCTCACTCATTCTTCAAGACTCAGTTTACTGTCACTTCTTTCAAAAAGTCCTCCTGCACTACCCTCCTTTACCCCACATATCCTAGGTGTTCCTCCTCGGCACACGACTCTGGGCTGTCCTTTATCCCTGCACCACACTGATGGATTTGATTCACTACATCCCCACCACATTTGGAACTGCCTATAGTCAGAAACTGGGGTGTTTCATTTTTGTATCTCCAACCTGTCTGGAATCTAACAGAATGAACATGACTAAGCAAGATTCTCTGTGCTCTTTGAATTTAAAGATCAAGGAGGGAAATGTTAATAAGGATGAGCAAACACTGATAAAGAGGTATCGCCTTACCTTGGCTAGTAGACTTGAAACATGTTTAATTTCACCATGTGCCTTTAGTAATTCTTGTTTGAGCTCAGTGCAAGACAGTTCCAGCTGATCTTTCTCAGCTCGAGCTACTTTCAACATTTCTTGAATTTCACAGCCCTCTGCCGTCTGCCCCATAGAACTGGTCTCTATACCTTTTTGCTTCTCATTCTCCAAATAAGCCTTCAAAGACCCATTTTCAATCTTCAGTCCTTCCAAGGTAACTGTACGCTCTTCCAGAGTTTGGGCCATCACACTACTGTTCTGCCGTTCCAGTTCTAGAAGCCCGTTCAGTTTTTCGTTCTCTTCCTTCAGGTGTTGGATTGTCTCTACAGCCCCTTGATTTTCCTCCTCGGCCTTCCGCAGGCTGCAGGTCAGCTGCTGCTGAATGCTGAGCAGTTTCTCCCGTTCGCAGCGGCCCTGCTCCAGGATTTCCGTGCGCTTCTGCTCCAGCTCCAGGACCTTTCCTGCTTGCGTGCCGGGCTCCTCCTTCTTCCCTCGCTCTTGGAGGAGATTTATCAGCTTCTCGTTCTCATGACTGAGCTGCTCTGCCCTCTCCCGATGCTGATGAAAGGAAGTTTCCAAAATCGTCTTCTCATCCACCAGCTTCTCATTTTCAGCTGTCAATTCCTGCACCATTTGTTGCTGGTCTGATAATTCCTGTAAAGTAGCCTGCAGTTCTTCTGCTGTGCTATGATGGTTTTCTTCCATCTTTTGTATCTTCTCCGTAAGGGAAGCCAGGGACAGTTCACTCGCATTGTTAGGGGAACTCCCAGTGGTAGAACACTTCGAACTCTTAAAGGGGTTGCTTGTGGAAGACAGGGGCCGAGAGGGGGTGTCTGCTGTGATGTGCTCAAAATCGGAGGCATCCGGTGACAAAGAAGCTTTGGTAACATCGCTGCTTGAAGAGCCCGACGTCCGTAATACGTTTTGGGGGGCGTGTTTTTTATATTCATCTACTTCACCTGACATCTGATTCCCAGTCGGGCTTCCGAAGCTTGACTCTTGGGTGAGGGATGTGGGACAGCTGCTATCAGCAGTGTGACTGGACCCCGCTTCTGAATTTGGTGAATGCTCAAAATAACGCAGTTTCTCCTTCAAGGCCCGGTTTTCTTCCTCTAGATCAGCAAGCTCTTTCTGGAAATTCTTGTTCTTCTCCTCCAGAGCTTGTATCAACGGTTCAGAGTCACCTGCTGAGACTGATGTTCCATCCATCTTTGGGTCCAAAGTGTCGGTTCCTGCAGTGTTCAGAGTCCTTTTCTCCCTGCATTTCTTTAGTTCACTTCGAAGCCTGTTAATTTCACTATCTTTTGCTTTGGCCTCTGCCAAAAGCTCCCGAACTTGGGACTCGAGCAGAGCCTTTTCTCCCCCTTCATTCTCTGGCCTGGGTCTTGTGGAAGTGGTCCTCTGGTGCTTGGTAGGGGTGGGTGTGCTGGAAGAAGTTGGACTAGACACCGATTTCTTTGGGTTGGTGGGACCACGTGGCACAGTTCTCTCTCTTGAGATAGTTGCCGAAAGTTCTCGAGGAGCTGGAATGCCTGTCCGTTTGGTGGTTGTCGCAGACCCTAGAGACAAAAGTAAAAATCAATGAAGCAAAGCAAGCACTTCATAAACGAAGCCCAAGCCACTTCAACCTGCACGGCGCCCTCCATCCACTTCCTCCTCCTCTAGATAGCCACCCGGTTCTGACCGGGGTTTCTGTACCTCCGCCCACAGCCCCTACTTGAGGGGAAGTGACTCAAAACAATCCCATCCCAGCCACAGTTGGTGGTTCAAGGCATGGGCACACCCCTCAACTAAGGAAAGGTTTTCTGGGTGAGCTTCTGAAAGACTGCTGGCCATGAGTGAGAAATCAGTTAAGTCTGGGACTGGCTGGCAGCCATCCTGTTGTCAGGAGAGGAAGGTGAGAAGCAGAATAGAAAGAAGACAACCTAAACCCTGGCAGCACTGTGGGTTTGCTAACTCAATCAACCCTCAGGCGTGGCCCATGGCTGGCCTTCCAATTACACAACCCAACAAATACCCTTCACAGAAGTCACCTTGCATTGGGTTTTCTCTAAGTTGCAACCTTGATAACCTATCTGAATTGATAAGCTTGACAAATGAACAACAGTCTTTCAACAAAATAAACTTTCATATGAATTTTTCAATAAATACTTAAAAATTAATCATTAATATATTTAGACTGAGCACAAACTAATTAAGAAATCAAAAGACATAAATAATCCAATGAAAGACTGATCTGATCCAATTGCTTTTAACGTAAGTGGAAATGGTGTGCTCGTCTGTATCCATAAACAAGAACACATGGGATAGGGGCATATTATCTATCTCTAAGGTACAGCTTTAAATGTTAAAGGGATTTATATAATATGGAAATGATATGGAATTTAGAACTTATAATGGGAAATGTAAGGAATTATCTTTTATTTTCATCTAGACTTCGACACTATAATCATTTTAAAATTTTCATCCATCCTATATTTAAGCTTTCATTTATACTATTATTAAAGACAACGTTGAAAAAAATTGTAGGGGTGAAACCCCAGACATCACTCTCGTAGGATCTCGAAATGAAACCCACCTTAGAGGTTAAATGTAAATGAAGCTGTTTTACAAACTCCAAGGCCACTGGATGTTAAGGCTGCTGGCTGTGACTTACGCAAGCACATTCCTTGGGCTGGAGGCCACCAGTCTCTCGGCCTCTACAGTGTAGGAAAGGCTGGGGCAGGGGATGCAGCCTCAGGCTGGCGGCAGCTCCGGGCTGCTAAGGCAGAAGCAGAACCCAACACGGCACAGTAGCTCTAAACCCACCACCTACACTTACTCAGGCATGAGCTACCGCATATCGAAGTGTCTTGAAATCTGCGGTAATGACAGCATTGTTGCTAACTCTCTGACATTTGAGTGCTTTTAAAACTTTGACATAATAATGGCTAAACTGCCATAATAATATACATGAAAACTATGGTTTTTATAGTAACTTTTCAAATTAAGTTACTCAAAAGCTAAGATTACTACAATACACATCTAATGCTTCAGGTGTCCAAATGCCTCGCTTGCAACCTACCCGATATGCAACAAGAAAAAGATTTAATTATTCTTTTTTAACCCTCACCTGAGGATACGTTTATTGATTTTAGGGAGGGAGGAAGGGAGGTACGGAGAGAGACAGACAGACAGGCAGAGAGTGTGATGTGAGAGAGAAACAATGGATCGGTTGCCTCCAGTATGGGTGCTGACCAGGGACAGAACCCACCACCTTCTGATGTATGAAATGATGTTCCAACCAACCGAGCCACCCAGCCAGGGCTAACTGTTCTTGTTACAGAAAGACTAAAATTACTAAGCAATAAACTGTTTTAGTAACAACAGTCCCCTAAGGTGAAGTAATCTTGGCCAGGACCATAATGAAAACAGAAAGATAATTAAAGTTTCACCACAACTATAATCAGACCAGGCAAAACTGAGAGTACAGGACTGATGATTACAGAGGTATTTGCCATGCCTAATAATGATACGAAAATTAAGGTTCCTTTTCAATTACTGATTTTGATGATGGGAAGAACTAAAATAAGAGAGATGAACTCTGTCATCATTTCCAGTGACAGTTTAACTCCTTCCTTTAGCTGCCAAATCTTAGTTTGTTCTCCACTTAGCTATTAGTTAACTTTATTTAAATTACTAGGAATAATTTTTTTTACAACAAACCAAAGTACATTTATGAAACATATCCAGTTGTGGATTAAAAACACATAATCTAGTTGAATATTTTTACTACATCTGTTTTTTTTTCTCTCTCATCACTTAAAGAAAATCCTCAGTATAATTGTTTTAGATTTTCTAAAAGATTTTTCCCATCTCTGTAAACATAATTTCAGAAACTGCAATTAGCAGAGGTAAAGTTTAGAGAGTTGTTAAAATTCATCATCAGACCAAACTAAGGTTGGTACCTGGCTGCTCACTGCCCCATTTTGGGCCTAATTCTGCCCCCAGACACACCTCGTCATGGGCACTGGTGGGTAAGAGTAAAGCGGTGGCAGTGCTACAGCTCATGATGTAATCAATCAGCAGGGCTCTACCCTAAGTCTCTTTCAAGCACTGTGGGTTCAGCAGCCTCACTGCTGAACACATCCGGAGCCCTGAAACTGGGCACGCTACTGACACAATACTCCAAGAGTGACAGCAGAGTGTTGGGAAGCCCAGGGCCGAAGGAACAGGATTTCTGTCTCCTTCCCATCCTCATATCAGATCAGCACTTATTCCTACCGAGGCTGGCTGTCTGGTGCAAGACGTGAAAATAAAAGCAAGCTCCACCCAACATGATAATTTATGTTAAAAAATTGTTTGATATGTTACATTTTTAAAGGCCAAATAAAAATTTATATTATAGTGCAGTTAATCACAGATGCACCAAACTATGTAGTCATAGAGACACACCCTAGGAAGAAACATATAATATTGAGAACAGGTGAGTATTAAATAGGTTGGACTTTGAGTAATTTTCCTGCTTCTTTATTTTACAGTTACATTTATACAATGAATTTAAAAAAAACAGGAGTGAAAAATCCTACCATAACAATATACAGAGAGATGAAGGTATGGTAAAAAGAAATCTTTTCAGAGACCATTAAGCACATTCGAAAATAACAATAGCATGATCATATATATATGGCTAATATGCAAATTGTCCCCATGGGAGTTCAACCAGAAGACCAGGAGTCCGATTGCTCACTATGATGTGCACTGACCACCAGGGGGCAGCATGGAATGAAGGAAGGCCCCGGCGGGCAGCCAACAGCCAGGAAAGGAAGGCCCCAGCTGGCAGCCAGAAGGCCTCCATCAGCCCTGATCGCCAGCCAGGCCTAGGGACCCAGACCATGCATGAATTTCGTGCACCAGGCCTCTAGTTTAAACCATAAAACAGGTGACACTTTTAAATAGTGATTTTTATGAATTGAAATAAAATATTTTCAGGCCCTTTTTAATGTCCTCATCTTACTCAAAGAATAAGCTACTGAGGTTTTTCTTTGGTAGGTCTTCTGTCTAAAGTGCACTGATGAAGGGTGACTTTCTGAAATAAATTATCAATCCTTCATTTATTCAACAAGAATTCACAGAGTACTTCTCGGTGGGAGATATAAATGAAATTCACCATCTTCACATACCACACGATTGCTGCCTTGTCTCCTAGACACAAGAGAACTTGCTCATTCTGAGTCTAAACTATTAGGATATTTCTTCATTATCACTCTGCATAAATTTTTTTCAATTTCTGTATGGTCAAACCTAATTTCCCCCCTTAATCATCAGCCTTCTCAACTTTTCAGTGGCAGCTAACTTTAAGTATCCATTCCTTCTTCCCTTCATTCTTTTTATTTATGTCTGACAGTGGCACTAATCATTTTTTAGGTTCCCCTATTCAAGGAACCCTAAAACATATTTAAACCTCCCTTTCCCCTTCCTTTTTGCAACTAACCAGTCTGTTACTAAAACCTACGAATTGTTTTTGGAAATGATTCCATATTTTTCCTTTTCTTTCATGATAAATCTAGTCTAGGTCCTCTGTCTACATTTCTGAATCACTCTCCCACCTTTGAGATATTCTGGTCAAATCCCTTACATAACTCATTCATTTTTCTGTTCAAGAACCTGTACATATTTATTCTCATCAGCTGCACCAATGTTAAACTTCTTCCCTTGGCTTTCAAAGTCATATATAATCTCTAATCAACATACTCAACCTTTTTCAACTTTGGGGTTTTTTTCGCTCTCTAGTACACCCATTTATCTCTAGCCAGTGTCCTCAATGTCCCCAGTACACTTATGACTTGTTGAAATATCATTCCCTTTCCACTGTATCATTCTGACTGGCACTTAAACAAGCTTAATTCCCGTCAATTAAACACACACACACACACACCCTAGAATCCACATCTTCCTCTAACTAATACCTGATTTCTCTCTTTCCCCTCATAGCAGAATCCTCCAAAGACTTATGTTCACTGGTTGTCCTCATGTCTTCTGCTCTCACTCACTCCCCTGCCCACTCCCTTTGCACTGCCTGGTGAGGTCATCAATGACCCCCATGTGGTCCAATACAATGGATACTGTTCATCTTCTCAGCGGTTAGAACAATTTCTTCCTTTGGAAACATGCCTCTGATGTCACATCGTCTTGGTTTTTCTCTTAACCCAGCAGCTACCCTCTGTCCATCTCCTTTGCTTGTTCCTCCTCCTCTCGCTACGTATTAGAATTCCTCGGGCCTGCATCCTGTGCATTTTTCTTCTCTTATTACAAATATTTTCCTGGTGATTCTACTCAATAATCTTAAATAACACCTATATACTGATGACTCCCAAATTAACTCTTCCGTGGACCTCTCTGAGCAACATGTGAATATCAAACTACGTACTTGATAAGCATAAATGAATTATCCCCCAAATACTTCAAACTAAATAAAAGGGAAAATGAAAGGCTAAGAAAAAGTAAACAGAATGTGCAAAGGTCCTGGAGAACAGAGAGCCTGGCAGCGAAGGGTTGGAGGCTGATTTATACGGGGTGC